CCCCCCAAGTCCAGAGCTGGCCAGGCCTCTCCGAGCACCACGGCACCCACTACAACACTGGCGTCTCTGGGGGGTGAAGGGAGAACCAGAGCTGCCCCCTCCCGCATCCACCCGGGGACAGCCATCCGGGCTCCATCTGGGGGCCGTGACTCGGGGTGAGGGGTGACACAGAAAACACCTCATCTGCCCCCAGAATCCACTGGCCGAGGGGTGCACCCATCCGACAGCCAAAATCATCAAATTGAGCAAGAAATGAAACCGCTGCCGCCCCCGCCCGGCTCCTACCTGGCGGGTGGATCCCGGCGGCGGCCCGGAGGGCGTTGTAGCTGGCCACCCAGTTCTCGTGGTCCACGCTGCCCCGGAAGCCCACCACCTTCACCCACTCGGGGTTCTCGTTGACCACCTCGCCCGTGGTGGTGGTCCACTCCTTGCCCAGGCCGCCCACGTACAGACGCTCGTCCTTCACCGCCAGCCACTCCGCCTTGAAGCCTGCGGACAGGAGACGAGAGGGACTGAGACCCGGCCGGCCCTCTGCCCACGGCGCCTGGCTCCTGGGCGTCAGAGGTCACCGTGTTAAACTTCACTTGAGTGGACAGGACAGCCTGGCTCGAGCCCCATCCTGGAGGGTCAGCAGCGGGCACACTCCTCAGCGGACCCCACCACAGGACGTACTCTCCCCTACGCCCCTCCCTCTGGGCCAGCGGCAGGCGGAGCCGGCGCTCACCTTTCCCCACGGTGCCGTCGCCGTCGGACAGGATGACCCAGGGCACGGGCGTGTTGCCCTCGATCCGGTAGACCACCCCCGTGCGGTCGTCCACGGAGTAGAGCTTCCCGTTGAAGACGACCAGGTCCGACAGCTCCATGCCCCGCCCCTTTTCCGCCAGGTGGGACTCCAGGACCCTGTGGCCCGGATCCCACTCCACGGCCACCTGGTCCCCGCTGTGGGACAGGGTCAGGTAGCCCTTCTGCAGGTAGCTGAACCAGGTGTTCTCCTCCCGGGCCTTGGAGTCCGTGTCCAGGTCGGCAATGACTGCGATGCGGTAGCGGGTCCCGCCCGGCGTCCTCTGGGGGGCCGACAGGGGGTAGGTGTCATTGTATCGG